CCTTTACAACAGCCCCCGTGCTTGTTACAAACTACGGTGCCGCTTTTATTGCCGTTCCAAACAGGGCACCTGACTGATATGCCAGTACGCGTTTAGCTTTTTGCCTATTCGAAAGTCGTTTTGTGCCTATTCAAGAGTCGTTTTCGTTCAGGCCGTAGTTGGCGTTATATTAATTATAGTGGATAGTGCTCCAGGCATGCTGCTTTTTTCTTTTTTTTTTCTTTTTTCGGGGGTTGGGAGGGGGGATGCATAGTCATTTATTGCATGCCCTTGGGCACATCCGTTAAAATTAGAAAGATACATGTGAAACAGAGATGTTTAGCATGACCCCTGAGAAAGGATGACACGCTTTCATTTATTGCATGAAAAAAAGGGGTTTGAGGCCGGAGAATACCTCCGAGTCGCCATTCATCCGGAAAACTACTGGGGCCATTAGCTGGAAACTACTGGGTCCAGGGTGCCTTTTTTAGCTATATGCTAAACCAAAAAGGGGCATGCTGTTTTTTGTGCACACAGTTGTCATAGCCTGGTGCTTTTGACTTCAGATAGGGCATTTAAAAGGGAAAAAGGGCAAGGGCTTTGAGATATAATCATTGAACTGACCAGCCCTAAAGGGATAGGGTATTTTACTCATCCGTTTCCTGTGGGGTTCCATGTCTCGATTTATGTGTGTCATCCTTGTACGCGCAGGGGCCATTTGCTAATTTACCCTTCTGTGTATCGTTCCAATTTTAACGGATGTCCTGAAGGACATCCTATGGAGTTGGAACTCGGGTCTGTATGTTAACAGTTCGGGGGCGACCAACTGAGCAATGCCAGCTGGTAAATAGGACCTTTTTTGGGAAAAGTGGTACAACCTCCCCGCGACGAAACCTTTGTATCCATTTCCACCCAAACAGGGGAAAAGGTGCTGCAGGCCACAAAATCACTTTCGGCATCATTTTTGCACCCCGCAAAACACTTCCCTGCCAATTTTACACAGCGGCGGTGTAACCGCCCAGCCAATGTGCAAAAACGACCCCAAAAGTGATTTCGGGACCTGCGGCACTTTTTTCCCCGTTTTGGGGGGGAAATGGACACGAAGGTTTTGTCGCATGGAGGTTTTATGACTTTTCCCACCTTTTATTGGTTGGAGGGGGGGGGGTGGGCACCGGGGGGGGTTTGAAATGTCACTCCGACTTTCATTTATTTGCGGTATGCCACTCTGACGGCCTTCTTACCCTGTCGCACCCCACTGACAACAATTGAAGTTTCTGAAAGACCCCTGGCGTCTTTGGGACTGGAATATGCTCAATTTGCCCCTACCCGTACCTGTTCCAAATTTTCAGTATGCCCCCTAGCTCCCCTCCCAGGGCCAGGGGAACGGCTGTGAGTGCCACCAACGGCCACAGGAAACTTCAGAGACCCCAGGGGCACGACAGGGTAAGTCTGCCTTCGGAGGGGCAGTCTGCAAATTAACGGAAGTGGGAGGGACATTTCAAAGATATTCCCTTCTTTTTTTTTTTCGAAAAAAGACAGCTCATTCTTATTACCAAAAAGGGGAAAAGGCCCGCAACTCAATGGGGTCCTTTTTTTTTTTTTTTTTTTTTTTTTTTTTTTTTTTTTTTTTTTACAAAAAAAGACTCTGCTCGTTTGCATTACACATCAACAAAGAGGCCGGGAATCCTCCACAAACAACCCGGAGAAGTGTCACTGGGGCCATTACCCAGGCTTGGCTGAGGGTACTGGAATTCGCCTAGAGACAGAAATGGCCAAATCTCGACCGCTGTTCTGACTTATCCAATCCCTATCAAAAACAAAAATACCGCCTCAGGCCATAAAAACCTCACAATTCAAAAGAAAAAATGGAAGAAAGAAAAAAGAGGAAAAAGAAAAAAGGAAACTAGCAACTAAGATTTCAAAACCAACAACGAACCGAAAAAGAAAGGAAAGCCAGCCCAGCCCACAGTCTATCACTTAACACCCAGTCCTATTCTCCATCTCCTCGCAATTATCTAACTTACTCTAGTCATCCACCTAATGCGGTGGGGGAATCCCCAGGATTCCAGACTGCCTATCCGGCTGCTCCCTCCAAGGTACCCCATTTCTGCCTATCTCCTGCGATAACACTACCGAGCGCCCAGGTAAGAAATGGAAGCCTAACCATCTTTAAACAACCGATGGTCCAACACCACTTAATCCTGCGCAGAAATAGTAGCTAACTTATTATCCACACAGCAAGTTTCTCTGAACCAGATTCTTCCCCTGTCCCTTTTCCCACTTTTCAGAACTTTCCTTCTCCGGTCCGCCAGGATGGATAACCGTAACTGCCTGGCAATAAGTGACCTTGCTTGCTTGTTCTTTCCCTCCACTCCTTCAAACACTCTTGTATTTCTTTCTTGCCATATCACTGCTATCGCAATAGCTCTTATTACCTGTGCAACGTACCCCCATCCTTTGTGCAGGCTTACATTGTCTGGGATCCCTCCCAGCAACACCCATCTCTTATCCCAAGGAAACACTGCATTCGTAAGCTGATCCCATATTCTCGCTATCCATTGCCAAATCCGTGCTGAGGCAGGGCAATCCCACCAGAGATGCACAGTTGATTCAAAAGCCCAGCTACACCTGAGACAAGTCATCTCCACTTGAACCCCATGTTCTACCAGCCACACCGCCGACGGCGTTGAGACAAGAGATAGCAACCATAGTGTAGCGGCCTGTCTTTGGCAGGGAATGAGTCTCAGCTGGTCCCAACATTTTGACAGTGCTTCATCAATCCGAACAGGGTCTTCATCTGGCAGTTGTATCCATCTTGAGCGAGCTACTACCTGTGGAATCTTGAGTGGCATTTTCAATTCATAACCCGTCTTCTGGTGGTACCCCATCAGACTCAGGTTTTCCCCATTTTTACGTTTAGCTCGCCATTCCCACATCTTGGGGTCTACTTTCAGTCTGATTACTGGCTTGCCACTATCAAATATCATCTTTTTCTGCTTGAGGTTTATGTTCCACGGTTGGAGGCTGGGAGTCTTCTACTGTTTCCACCAGGAGACCCTGTTCCTCGACGGACCAACCCTGAAAAGTTCGCTTTCCATCCGGCATAATGTTGCACAGTTTCCATACTTTGTCCTCAGGCTGTTGCTTCAGTGAGAACCACGTGCCCGGTGGGTCAATACCCTCAGGGCCAATCAAGTGCTTCCAGGTCTCAGGGATAGCCTTGATTATAAGAGCCAATTTCTCCTCTACCTTTTGCAGCCTGTACAGCTTCTGTTTCAGAAATTCCACTGAACACCAGGTTCCTGTGTATTCATCCCAGATGTCTTGGACACGTACTACCCCCTTTTCAATCTATGTTCTACCAAAGCTTGCAGGTGAAGTGTCCGCTTTAAACCAGGTCCCGTTATCCGAGCATATTCTTGGATTCTCAAACAGAATTTCACTAAGCACTTCTGCTTTAGTTGTTGGTTCAACTCTGACATTCGGGCAGAGTTGTTTCCATGCACGAATAATTGCAGCCCAGAAAGTGGACTTTATCAGCCTTCTCTGATATGACGGAATAAACAAACATGCCCACACATCCTGTTCACGGGACATATTCCATTCATTTGCTAGGATCTGTTCGGCTAGCAGAACCCAGTGCGGCACGGGAGTCTCCGTGCAGGCTCTAACTACCCACTTGATCAACAAGGCGTCATTATGTCTTTTGGGGTCTACCAGTCCCAAGCCCCCTTCCTGTCTTGGAAGACACAACATTTCCCATGCAACCTTTGACAGGAAATTGACATCGTCCTCTGCATATGGTTTCCATAAGAATTTTGCCGCCCGTCTTTTAATAATAGAGTATAGATGGGAACCAAACCCACGGACTGTTCCAACAAACCATAGCAACGCAAAAAGAGCCCCATTGAGCACCATGGCTCTACCAAAGAGAGATAAATGAGGCGCCTTGCCCCAAGTAACTAACCGATGGAGAACCTTCTGCATCAAAATACTATCCTGATTCTCAGAGCAGTCCAACAGGAAAATCTGGACCCCCAAAAAGCGTTCAGAGTCATCTTTTGCTATTCTTTTCATTCCCCACTGAACAGCTAGCCCAAACGCCTCTGGTAGAAAAAAAACCGACTTGTGCCAGTTGATGGCAGCTTCCAACAGTTCAGAGAATTCATCTAAGCACTCCTTCAACGCTTTCAAAGAAACCGCTGTATTTTCTGAGACGGCAAATAAATCATCGGCCAGTGCTTTCACTTTGTACTCAGAGGCCCCGCATGACATTCCCTTAATCTGGGGGTTAGCCCGGATATTGTTCAACACGACTTCAAACGGAACTGCAAATAACAGGGGGGCCAAAGGGCACGCCTGTCTCAGTGATCGGGTCAATGTGAATTCCTGCGAGAGAGCGCCGTTGATAATGACTGATGCAGTAGAGAAAGTGTATAGCGCTTTGACCCACAGAATGAAGTTATCTCCGAACTCCAACCACTTGAGCGTAGAAAGGACATACGACCAGTTCACCTGGTCGTACGCCTTTTCTAAGTCAAGGAGGAGGATGACCATGTTACAATTCACATTCTGGACGATCTCAAGAGTTTCAATCGTTGTTACTATATTATCAAATATGGACCGTCCTCTAATAAAAGCCGCTTGATCCGGGACCACGAGATCCGGGAGATATTTCCCCAGCCTACGTGCTAAGATCTTTGCTAGTAACTTATATGACACGTTCAGAACCGAAATAGGTCTCCAGTTCCTTATTTCAGCACGCTGCCCTTTTTTGAACATAACTGAGATTATACCCCTCCTCATATTAGCTGACAGGGATCCTCCTGTTAAGATCTGGTTATAAATCTCCACCAAGTCGTTTCCCACTTGATCCCAAATACACAGAAAGAGTTCTGTTGGTAGACCATCGCTACCCAGCGCTTTTCCTTTTGCCATAGAGTCCAGTGCTACTCGTGCTTCAGTTACTATGATAGGTCGGTCTAGATCTAATCTCCCTGTTACGGTTAGTCGGACGGTAGTGGCGTCCCAATGCTTGTTTTCCTTACATAGGTCTAAAGAGACATCAGCTCCTTGCTTCCGTGAAGAAAGGATATCCTTGTAGTAAAGAGAAGCATAGTTGCACAGATCAGACAATTCTTTGGCTTTCGGAGCATCGACGCATGAGTTCACTCATAGGAGGGGAAGAGCGAGATGGAAGAAGTCTTTGAAAGGATTCTTTCGTCATCCTATCATAAACAGATATCCCTTTGATCCGTAGGCGCTCAGCCCATCGTTCAAAATTCTTCTGTTGGAGTTCATCCCACTCTGTTACCAGCAATGCTCTTTTTTTACCCCAGACCAATCATGTGTGAAAACTGCTGAGGGCAAATTGACTAACGGGTTGGGCAGCGAGATGAGCCTAGCAGCGCCTAAGGCAACCTCCTCTCTCTTTTCCTCCTCTCTCTTTTCCTCCTCCTCCTCCTCCTCCTCCTCCTCCTCCTCCTCCTCCTCTTCTTGTGTGAAAACTGCTGAGGGCAAATTGTGTAACGGGTTGAGCAGCGAGATGAGCCTAGCAGCTCCCACGCCGTCGGATTTCCAATCTCGTTATGCGGATAACGACCCACGGAAGGGTTGCGATATTCTGATTGAGGCCTTGGAGAGGGAGGGGGTGCGCCATGTGTTCGCGTATCCGGGCGGCTCTTCGATCGAGATTCATCAAGCGCTGATCCGATCCAAGTCAATCAAGAACGYTCTGTGCCGTCACGAGCAAGGGGAGGTGTTYGCYGCYRAGGGCTATGCGAAAGCCTCAGGTCGGGTTGGTGTGTGCATAGYGACATCTKGGCCAGGTGCGACGAATCTCATCACCGGAGTGCACGATGCCATGATGGACAGCGTCCCSCTCGTTGCGATCACTGGMCAAGTCCCRCGTGACAAGATCGGGACCAACGCGTTCCAGGAGACCCCGATCGTCGAGGTAACGAGACCGATCACCAAGSGTAATTACCTSGTGATGAGCGTRGACGAGATTCCAAGAGTAATTAGGGAGGCGTTCTTCTTGGCWGCCTCGGGAAGGCCAGGACCCGTGCTTGTCGACATTCCCAAGGACATTCAACAAGCGCTGAGCGTACCTGATTGGTCGCCGCGGATGCGCTTGCAGAACTACGTGGAGCGACTGCCACGTGTCCCATCCACAGATCAACTAGATCAGATCGTACGGCTGCTGCAGAGCTCAAAGAGGCCGGTACTTTACGTGGGACGAGGGTGTGTGAATGCATCGGAGGAACTCAGGGAGTTCGTCACAAGGACGGGGGTCCCCGTTGCGCACACGTTGATGGGTCACGGCGTGTTTCCCGCCACAAGTCCCCTCTCTCTGTAGATGATCGGGATGCACGACACCGTCTGGGCTAACTACGCGGTTCAGGAGAGCGATCTCCTCCTGACTTTTGGCGCGAGATTCGCTGATCGGGTGACCGGTAAAGCAGACTTGTTTGCCGCCAAGGCCACGATAGTCCACGTGGACATCGATCCGACCGAGCTGGGCAAGATAAAGACCCCTGATCTTGCAGTCCTCGCCGATGTCAAGCCAGCTCTGAGTAMGTTGAACSGGATTCTTYGCTCCTCCATGCCCAGATTGGACTTCACGGCCTGGGTCAACGAGTTGGAGCATCAGAAGAAGAWGTATCYGTTGACGTATCCACAAAACAAGGAGGGGGGAGCGGAGGGGGCGGGGGATGGTGAAGACGAAGAAGAAGCCATAGCCCCCCAGCACGCCATAGCTGTGCTGCGAAGGCTGACAAAAGGACACGTCATCATATCCACAGGAGTAGGTCAGCATCAGATGTGGACGGCTCAGTTCTTCGGATTTGACCATCC